AGAATTCTATTCAATCGATAGACTCAACGAATGAAAACAATGTTTTTGTTTGAGTTTGACCAATTCGTAAAAAAAAACAAAAAAAAAAACAAACTAATTAAGACATGCGTGTCTGTCAACCTTAAACAATAATCTTTGTCAATTTTATTTTTCAGTCTTTATGATGGTCGATACTTGATCTATCTCTTACTGTTACATCCCCGGGCAATGCCAGGCTCTACTGCTAGTAATATCTAATCTATTTTATTGTTTTCATTGTAATTATTTCACTATGTTCAATAGATCAAAGATATTTTTTGGTGAAGAAAGAGTTACTAGGCAACTGGTTACTAATGCAGAGGCTAGATAAAAAAAAATAAAAAAAAAATTTCCTTAGTGGTTTACAGCTGATTGACAAAATCCAAAGAATCTACATTATTATTGGTCCTGACCTGGCATTTCAGCCTCAGTTACTACTCCCATCATAACATTTCTGCGCCTTTTCTATTTTTTTTTTTTTTAACTGTTCTGAAAAGCTTTCTTTGGTATGTTTAAATGTAGTACTAGATTGGCAGCTAGGTCTCAGCATTTTACAGTTGAAATTACTAGATATAACAATAAGTTCTATGCTAACAGTTTCTTCTCTAGCACTTCTCACATGTGGAACTCTTCCAGCTTCCTGCTTCCCAGTTAACATTGATCTTCAAAAATTTAAATGCAATGCAAATTGTTATCTTGTCTTAATTCCTGTTATTTTATGGCTCTCACTCCATAATATTTTTTCTTTTTCTCATATTCTGCCAGTCAGTAAACACTTACATCTTAGTAATTTTATTGCCTTGCTTAGGGAGAAATTTTTTTTTTTTTTTTTTAAATTGTGGCCCTGTTGCTGCGGGCTTCACTGAATACCACTCTTACTTTGGTCCATCACTGTTGGTCAGTCACCAGCAAGCCCACTCTACACCAATTCTGTGTCCCTATGTGGTGCTTCAGTATCCACAGGAATATCGGTGAAGAACTGTCGAAGATCTGTCCTGGATATGTTTGTGAAAAACTAAAGTCACCATAATTAACTACAACACTCATTGATATATGCAAAAATAACTTATTTATGGTACCATGATTGATGAAGATCATGAATACATAAACAAAAGGGATTTGAAGAAGTTTCCGCATATAAGGAATTCTTGAGCTGAGAGGAAGAGGTTGACTGGCAGTTGCAGTTATGAAAATTCAACCTAGAGTTGTTCAACTATTTAAATGAAAGCAGCTGATCAAGAGAGTTCAAAAAGAGATGTTCAGAACAGGACTTTAGCTGATTTAGGCAACACGGTTATCTAGCAGATTGAATGTTGGTCTATTTGCGGTGAGATCAGTTAAATCTTACTTCTGCTCTTTCAGCTCCTTCTTTTATGAGGTTGCAAACCCCAATTGCACAGCTCTGAATGGCTAGCCAATAATAATGCTTGACCTATGGTCTTGTGCCATATGGACTAAAGGGAAGGAAAAAAACACCCCAGAAGCCCAATATGATTGGCGGTCCAATTTAAAAAAAAATGTCTATATCAGAGGGGCCAACGAGAAGCTCTATCCCATCCTCTCTTTTATTTGCAGGCCAATCAAAATTGTGGGTTTGTATCTCACCTATCCAACTTCAGTAGAAAATTTTACATGTTCCAGAATCTCACACTCACTTGACCTGACTATCACCGGTATTATCATTTCCTGCATCTGACAGTATGTCATATCTTTGATCAAAATAAACCAGACATTTAAAGATTTACTGTGTTACTCAATTCCTTTATCAAATGAAAACACTAGTACAATTTCAGCAGACCTAAGACTGTACCTAAGATCAATCCCACCTCTCACACTATACTCCAAAAGTGACACAAACCTGAAAATTCATTAAAATCTCATATTTCTTTAACATGAAAATTATTTTTCCTTCCTTAGAAATAAAAATTAGATTGCCAGTCAACCTTTCACACCAGTCATGGTGTCATATATCAAATATTAGTTAATTCATTATAAACTAAAACCTTATATTTAAAACTATTCTTCTGTTTATATAGTTAGTTTGATATCAGGAACTAAGGAAAATGAAGTTTTCTAATATGATGTCTAATGCCAACACACAACAAATATAAAATTCACAAAGAATATCAGAGCTGTACAAATAATTTTGATGCCATAATCATAATTGCACTTGAGATTGTCCAAAAAATAAAAATACGACAAAAAGTAGTGCATGCTGACTGCCATTCTTTTCTATTTCAAATTTTGAGCATCTGTTGTATTCACTTTCATTCAAATTCTCTAGGAAAAAGTATGTGTCTCCTAATATGGGTTAAACAGCAAGGTAAACCGTTACCTAGTCTTGGACAGCAATAGAAAACTACTACTCTATCTTTCCTGTGAATGGATGGTAATTAACAGATTATAAATAAAAAGAAATCTAAAGTCATGATTACTTATGTTTTGAAGGAATATGGCATAAAAAAAGCAGCAGCTGTGTAGAGTCATGATTGCCTATGCCCTGAAGGGACAAGGCAAAAGGGAGGAAAAAAAAAAAAAAATTATAGTTCACCCTTTTCATGTATGTGCCACCATCAAATATATTCTTTAATTTGAACAAACATCATTAACTACTTTCCTCTAGTCTTCCATCAATGGGAAACACTCCTCGGCGATCCACATGACAAGTGATGCGGGGGCGAAGAATTGCATTTACTAATCCTGTGGTTTTTCAACTGCTTCCACACTAAGTATGATTCAGTAGCAATGATTGCAATTCTTACTAGTAACCACAGGATTTTGCTAAGTAGAACTGGCTGAGTCATGTCATCATTAGTTGATAAGTTGTTGCTTATCTGCAATCAAGTCAATGTATCTATCACCTCCTGCATAGGCATTCATTCTCGGTTTATACTACAATTTATATTCTTTATAGTTTCTCTATGTTTGTCATTATTAATGATAAAAAATATATCACAAATAAATTCTACCAAATTTATCACAATGTTTTGGCCGTTGTACACTCCGGTCTTCTACAGGTGGCTGGAATATCAAACTGAACCCTTTATTTCACTCACTGGGGTAGACTGTTCTAGTTCCACGTGCCATGTCTAATGGATGTCACTTATCAGTTATCTCCTGCAACAAAAATGAGGATGATAGTCCAAACAATGTATATAGTGTATATAATACCTCATCTCAGAAATATAGACAGATACTGAAATTCTACCAAGTCTATTAATCAGCTCTACCATGCAAGATTGTGTGTCATTACTGTTAGCAGGATCAAAATGGAGTTGACAAAATAAGAAACTGAAATTTTGATCATTTCTTACAACCACAAAATTATTTAAAGATTTTTTTTGTTTTACTTTTTAAATAATAAAGACAACCAGAATGAGGATACTTTTTTTTGTTGTTGTTGTCGTTTTTTTTTATTACAGAAGAAAAACCCTGAACCAAAAGTGCTTGTACAATAAGCTACACATGGTCAGTAATGGTCACTTCTTTCATGCATACTCAAAGATTAACAACACATACAACAATCCAGGCATCTTAATCAGACAATAAACAATCATACATGAAATAAATGAGCAACAATGAAGTCTCACAGACTGAAGTCTCTGTAGAAATTAAATGCCATAATGAATTTGAAGTGAAAATTTCTGCCTTCCAATTTAGTCAATGCCCACATTTCAATTAAATATCAAGAATTGATTCACTTTTTTCAACACCTAGTAAATGCTATCAAAGCAGCTACTCATAAAAACTATTTTTTTCTTTCCATATTAATCCTAAAATCTTTCCAAATTTAAGTTGTAAAGCAATCAACCAATTTTAAATTTTGAATGTGCATTCTTTACTTATGAAAGATAAAACAAAAATTATGTTGACTAACAGCTCACCAAAGTCAGAATTTAAGAAAAGAAATTTAAGATATAAAAAAAAAAAAATTTACAGGTATATTAACAAGAAGCTGCTTCCAATTATGTAACACATACAGAATGTTCCAAAATCAAATATACCTAAAATATTACTTCTATTGTTTTTTTTTTGGAGACACGCTTTGTGTGTGTGTGTGTGTGTGTGTGTGTCTATCAGTTTGAAATATCCTCTTCAGAAATCTGAAATATTGAGAGATAAAAACTATGATGTATTTGTCAGCAAAATAAAAAGTGTGTGTGTGTGTGTCCGTGTGTGTGAGAGAGAGAGATAGTCAGCAGGAAGTATTTTTGTCTATCTGTAAGCATTTTAATTGCATTTGCAATCAAAATCAACTAACACTGCAATTTCCTTCAGCTTGGTTGCTTTCTTTCTTATTTACTTGATGCATGTGTAGCAATAATTTCCTGGAAAGTCTCCATATTTCTCAGACTATTTGCAGTATTTGAGAATTCAGTGAATCTGTCAACATGTGAATTTGTTTATTGAATTTTTCTTGAAAACTGACTGCTGAGTATGCAGTTATATTAATAAATTCAAATCTGACTTTGGAGAGCAATAATTTGACTTTACCTGAATTTGTCTATAGAGAAATGTTTGTGGCACTGCAAAAGAGGAACTGGTCATCATTTACCAGTTTATTTGAAAGTGTCAAACACATACTGATTTCACTACTGGATTAGTAGCAGTTTGTAAAATAAACATCTTTAAAAATAATAAAATGAAATTCATGAATGATTGTTCAACTAACCTCCCCTACCCTCCATCCCCTGATCCTGCCAGATATTCACTGACAGACAATGACCAAAATGTAAAGAATTGTAGGAATGCTGGAACATGGGGGATGGGGTCGGTAATTATTGTCTTATTGACTAGTCTCTCTCTCTGACATTTTTCCTCTGCAGAAAGACAACAAATTACTTTGTGAACCGAGATATCAATCCCCACCTGACCAATACTCTAAGAGTGAGGGGGTTCAGGGAGCAGAGAGAGTCAAACAACAGCAGACCCCAGATTATGCACTTTTCCTCCTCAGACAACGGTTTTCTTTCACCTTTTGGTTATGGCCAAGTGATACGAGGAATTACTTTCTTCTTTTTACATGGTTCTGGACAATCCTAGAAAATAAATAAATAAAATAAGAAAAATTTTAATAATATCAAACAGTAAATATCAATTCTAATTGAGTAGATTTCCAATATATATTACAACCAGATGCCCTTCCTTTCACTTACAGCAATAATAAAATTAGTAAAGAATTTTCTAGAATAATCTTTCCCAGCATGTAAACAATTTTGACCATACTTATACAAGAACAAAGTAAACATTGTACTTTGTCAAAAATATAGAAAACATTTTAGGTCCCATTTCGCAAGAGAAATGGTTCAATAGGTTTATTTTGATATGTGTTAATGAGCTTTCTACAGGTATTAGATGCCAAGTTAAAATTTACTGCATCCCCACTCCAAATGTTAAAGTAACACGAATAATGCCTTTAATTTATACTATTTATATTTGAACTATTGTCCTCATCATTGTTGTTTTTATCACAATGTGGTCATCCCAAGACATGAGCAATGAGACAAGAAAACAGTTTACACCCATAGTTTAAATAAAGGGTTCAGTTTGGAATTCTCTGTAGATTATCAAGATCAATAGGCCAGAGGACACAACAGCTGAAACATTGTGATAAAAACAACAAAGATGAGGACAAGAGTTTGAATATAAACAGTATAAATAATAACTCCAGAGCCCAGAAATTCAAACGAAAATAATGCCTTTAAATTAAAATATCTAAAATGAACAAATGAAAGAATCCCAAAACTTATTTCTGCTGATCATCAGGTTTTACTGTTTGACAAAGTGAAGTTATCTAATAAGAAAGGACAAGCTAAAATAAAAGATGAATTCCTTTGGTTCACCTTCAGATTGTTCAAACAAAGTGACAACTAAAAGGTTATGGTATACACAATAGAAACACCTGATCATAATCCTAAAATTTCAGACATACAGAAAACATTAACAAAAAAAAAAAATCCCTGAATAAGATGATGACCTCTGCAGTATAAAAAGGTTTTAACTCCTATTTCCTAAGTAAAACAAATCCGATGACATTAACACACCAAAAAACAATCACCAAATTTTAACAAAATCTTCAGTATTTATTTATGGAATTAAAAATTTCTGGAAATTATTTGAAGCCAACAAAGGTCACTGTTAATTTTAGGAAATCTCTACAAAACATCATTTGGGCAGTAAAAATATTTTTGTTTTTATAAAGTCCCTCAAGTAACTAAATCCAAATTTTATCAAAAACATTTGTGATAGGGCATAACAAATAAAAACTGCAATAAAACTAAAATATTTTTTTTGGAAAGTTGTTTTTTTTTAATAATATCTACTGCTGGCTTTTGTGTGGTGAAAGAAAAAATATCTGTTGAAAAATTTAGATTTATTTAAATTTATTAATGAAATGTTTTTAATATTTGAAAAATCATTTATTGTGCTGCTTGGATACTTCTAAAATGTTATTTATAAACAAGAAATGTACAGTTTATAAAAACCATTGGGCAGAATGTTTTTGTAAATTAAAATCGAATTTTTCCTGCATACAATTGATATGAATTAAAAGGAACATTAAGAAATGATTCTTCATTAAACATAGCTCACACACACACAATTTTTGGGGGTCTTTTGTATTTCAAAGAACATATTTAAATTACTTCAATATTTTGAAATATGTTTTAAGAAGTGCGTGGCAATATCTAACAATTTTATATGCAATATAATAAAATTCTACCACTTAAAACTGAAATTTACCAAACCAAAATTAACTCTTCTCTAATTGGTTATGCAAGTTGATATGAAATTTTCACCAGTTGTTTTAAATTTTGGTTTAACATAAAATTTAGAAAATGTGTTAAAATAATCACAAACAAGTTTATAATTAATTTTCAGAAGATATTCTAAAAGATGATTTGCTTGGTGTGAAATGATTAAAAAAGAAAAAAAAATATCATTAAAATAGAAAAACCAACTCACAATGTAGAAGCAAATGAAGGGACGTAACTTTTTCAAAATTTCTTAAGACATGCAGAAATTCACTTGAATCAACATTTTGGGCATTTACTTCTAACCAGGAGTAAGCAAGCAACTACCAAGAGTTATTTACCTTGAGCATTATTATTACAATCCTATTATAATTGTGTTTGTCCATCCGTTCAATAGTTTGCACAACCGTTACACCCTATCAATACCTCATAAATAATGGACTGTTCAGATTTGATAAAAATGAAAAGAAAGAAGTGAACATAGAAGTGTTTAACGTCTGTTTCAGTGAAATGGAAAACTTGTCAATTTCAAATCTTTTCATTTGTACCCACTTAAAATAACGACCAGCATTCATATTTATGATTGTTATTGCAATATTTTGTTAAAACTCAAATATCTGACAATGTGATAGGGAAATTTCTACTGATATTTTATTGTTGTAGAATTTGCCATGAGCGTACTCAATCATTAACTTAAGAATTAAGATACATCAGAATATTAAAACAGGAAAACCATGAAAATTTCACGGGTTAAAACTAATTATTATGATGATGTTTCTATGCTTATTTTCAAATTTCTAAACATATAAAAGAATCAAAGTCGTTTTGAACAAATGTTTTGTTTTATAAATTGACCAACAAGGAAAAATAACTGGAGTTTTACTAATCTTCAAACAACTCACCTTTTCACCCTCGTCTGCTGGTCGTTTATTTTCAAGTGTGTTTTTATTCTCCACTGGTGAATCAATTGCCTTGTCTGTCTTGTTGATTGGTTCAGGAGTTTTATTATTCGAGCCGTGAGCATCTGGAGAAGACTTGTTGCCATTGTTGAAGGTCTTTGGAGGACTTGTGTCCATGCTAGTGACCGAAGTACGAGAAGAATTTAGTTTTATGGTTTTACGTTCAAAATTGATGCATGATGGAGGTGGTTTCAGCGGACTGGAAGAATCTGTTGATGGTGTAAAGGGAGACATAAATCTAGGAAGGGCTTTCTCAACAGGCTCGGTAGAGTTTCTGAAATGGGGGGAAAAAAATAAGATAAAATAGCTTTATATACAAACACTTAACTCTTATAAGTCATCAAATCACCGAAAGATTCCATATTAGACAACCATATCTTTCAAGTAAACTGCCTTTCTCTGTAATAACATGTTCAGTTTATTTCTAATGACCTTGTAGCCATACCTTCTTTCTAAATGTTTGTTTCTTTTTCTTTATTCATTTATCTGATATCATTATTGTACAAAAACTCATTCCTAATTATAATGTTCTGATGATAATAGAAATATTGAAATTATTAATAAAGTCTTGCTCATTTTCTCATTTGTTAAACATACTTAATTAAAAAGTATGACCTTCTGATTTTTCCGATAATTCTTTTTTTTTATCTTGTCCTTTAAAAATTATTTCTGCATGCATTGAGTCTTGGCAGCATTAAAGGCATAATTCATTCTTGCTGACAGTCCTTTTATGAAAAAAAAAAAAAAAATAACAGAAAATCTTGCTTACTTTTTGATCTCAGCATCACTTGGAGTTTTGCTCGTCTTTGCTAAAATAATTTGTTTCTTGGTCATTTGTTGTCCTCTACGGTTCATACGATATTTCCTCTGAGGTAAAGGAAGCAGGTAATGGTTGTAGACATCCACAAGAACATTCTTATCAAAGGAGTCAATTCCCGGTTGATCAATACCTCTCTGCAAAAAAGCATGATAAATAAGAATATGAAGTTGCCATAAGCTGGTTTCAACTAATTTGTCCATCATTAAACAACAGTATCAAAATATTTAAGATTAACAGAAACAAAGGTTTCACTCTTAAAATAAAGCTGCAGATAGATGAGATTTCAAATGATACTCCTAAATACACCTTTGCACATTAAATATCAACAATGTTGTGGCTCTCCAAAGATCCTTACTGAAAAACCTATACAACATCAATGGTCAATTGATTCCTACTTTGGTTAGCCAAATTACATCTAACAGAAAAATGGAGATCCTCTGAAGACAGAAATCAAGTCAAAAATCTCACAGACAGCTGAACAAAAATTGAATTTAAAGCATCCACAATACAAAAGTGATGTTTGATTACAGAAACCTTTGACAAATCCAAATACAGAGCCTTCAAAAACAAGCTAAGCAAGGAGGTTAGTGTCACAAGTGAATCTTAGAACAGTAATTTCAGTAGAAAAAGGGTTAAGAAAAAAAAAAAAAATCCTAAAAAATGTTTAATGATGAATACCTACTAAAGAGCACCAGCAGCCAGTGTTGCATTTAGAAATTAAATACATGAATCTGCATAATTACAAAAATTAGAAATTTTACAAAATAACTACATCCACCGCAAAAGAAAGTTTCAAACTATTTCTTCAAATGAACTTGACATTTCAAATAAAACAGAACATCTCATCTTTACCTGCTATGTATGAATACATATCTGTACATGTGTATTACAAATAGTCTTTATTCTTAACCACTGACTAGCCACTTTTTTGTTCATTTTTAAGCAGCCATATGCAGATAAAGTGCCAAAATTGACAAAAAAAAATTTTTTTAATTTTAAAATTTCACTTTTAACGTCTGTCTATATTTCTGAGATGAGGTATTATGTACATTATTCGAACTATTGTTCTCATCTTTGTCACCATATTTATCACAACATTTCAGCCGTTGTACACTCCGGCCTTCTTCAGGTGGCTGGAATTTCAAACTGAACCCTTTATTTCGCTCACTGGGGTAGACTGTTCTAGTTCCACATGCCATGTTTGATGGATGTCAGTTATCAGTTATCTCCTAATTTTCCTCCAAGTGGAGGAGGACAACAACACTCAGAAAACAGTCTGCCTGCCTTATGTGAAGGGGTTATCAGAGAAAATACAAAGGATCTGCAGTCCATATTACATCAGGACAACCTTCAAAAGCTTGACGACACTTCGCAGATATCTCTCTCGAGTGAGACCCCCCCCCATAGAGGAGAACATGACTAAAGACTGTATGTACGCTATCCCGTACAGCTGCGGAAAGGAATATAAAGGAGAGACAAGCCGCCCCCTCAAGGTAAGGCTTCAAGAATACCAGAAAGCTGTAACGCGAGGGGAAGTAGAAAAATCAGGCATGGCTGACCACATATGGAGAGAGAAAGGAGATCATCGCCCTCTGTGGGATCATGTTGAGATCATAGCCAAGGAACACCATTAGAAAATTCGTAAACTTAAGGAATCATATGCTAGACCACAAAAATCTCCTGAGCCGACCAAGCATAGAAATAAATACAATATGGGAACCAGTAATAAGGAGTGCCAGAGAAAAGCAATGATAACAAAGTTGCAATATGAGCTCTGGTAAAAACATGCAATGATAACAGCAAAATTGCAATATGAGCACTGGTAAAAATGGTTGCTGATGACATTAGGTTTATAATACCCAGAAATTCATACCCTCAAGGACACATGGCACAGTGGATAAAGGCGTTGGTTAGATCCAGTGACAGGACCCAAAGAGTGTGAGTTCAATACCCGGTTAAGGCAGTGGAGAACTTTCAGAGGGAAATTAGCAAGAGATAACTGACATCCATCAAACATGGCACGTGGAACTAGAACAGTCTATCCCAGTGAGCGAAATAAAGGTTTCAGTTCGAAATTCCGACAATTTTTTTTATAAGAAATTTGTACAAGAATTGTATTATTTTTTTTATTAGAATAATTTATAAACTTAAAATAATTTATAATTCTTTATTAATTTTTAGCAACCAAGTGAAATTGTTACTCATTAGATTTAAATCTCATTGAGCATTTTTGGGATACGTTACAGATCTTACTAAATTCCTTGCAGCCATATCCCCCACATCAAGATATTTGTATTCTAAAAAAAAAAAAAAAAAAAAAAAAAGTTGCCAAATTTTATCACTTAAATTCAGGAGAAATGGGTATATATATTGTCACTTAAAAATAATCCCTCTTGTGTTTGAAAAGAGGAAAAATGTTAGGAGAATGTAAACTATCAATTGGTAATATACATTCCTTGTTATTATGAGTTAACTTTTCATACTTTGTTTGTTAACAATATTGTACAAGAAAAAATAAATTAAATTTGAGCTTATATAATTCATCAAAAGTAACTTTGATTTTTTCTTTTTGCTAATTCAAAAAGAACAAATATTCAATATTTTTAAATTCAAGTATTAAGTTCTGCACATCAAATTATTTCTTCATACTCTACTTGCTGATTTACCTCCCTTACATTTCCCTTAATAATTTCTTTTTTTTTTTTTAAACTCACTTCATACGAGTTGTCACTTGAATTTGAAAAGTCATGCACAAAAAAAAAAAAAAAAAACATGAGACTAAAACAAAAAATACCATCCAAAACGAAACAGGATTTGTTTCAACTAACATCAGTAAAGTTTTGTCTTTTTGGAGAAATGACAAAATTTTTTTGTGAACCCATATGAAAAAAGTAGTTTTATGAACAAGATATGACCAAATTTTGAAACAAATTATGGAGAGATGGACAACTTTCTGTGATCACAAGAAAATTTGCAACAGGAATGTTGTTTTTATGTAATTTTCAATAATCATTTGGTATTCTATCAAAACTTAAGAACTTGGTGTCTAAAGAAGGGATAGAACAATTTACTGATATTAATGCAGAAGATCATGTATTGTTTTTCAAATTCAGTCTCTTTAGAATTAACACAATCAAATATCACAAATCAAAAACCCATTTGTCAAAAAAGGTTTGTGAGGTTTAAAGAAATACAAGATGATACAATTCTTGATTTTTTGAGAAGCCAAAACTTTGCCTGACATCCCTCTACACAAAACTGACAAAATTAGGCCATTTATATTAAAACATTACAAAGACGTTACTATCCAGTAATCAGTAATAGTATCCAGAGTTCATTTGGCCAAATTAATTGTCACTTTGAAAGCTAAGCTTGCCAATGAACCTGTATCACAGCAAACAAAGCAACTTATAACAATGACAGAATGCAACTATCAAACTAAGTCAAGCATGCATGAATACATCTTGTTGATATCATATTTCTATCAGATACATCATCCAACTATAAAAAAAAGCTTATAAATAACTTTTGTTAAATGTGTTTACTAATAGTTAACATGTGTTAAGAGACCATATTTATGAAAGAAAGTTCTCCCAATTCTGGGTCATTTACATAAAAGACTTCAAAGAACTCTTTGATGTGATTCAATGACTTTACAAGTGGAAGTCTTTCATCCAAGTATTCATATTCATTGGTTGGCACCAAAATTAAGTGAGTGAACTGGCAAAGTCAGTTGTAGAAATCTGCTTCAGAGCAGTCCATTTACTGCCATGTAAACTATGCCACAAAACCCCCAGTAACTCCCAACTGAAGTTAATCCAAAGTCTTTCTAACTTCTTGCCAGTAAGCATTTGTTTTGTTTTTTTCCTTCTTAGCCACAGATCTATACACTAAAATTAAAATAAAACTTTTCATGTTTACTGTAAAACTTAGCTAGTCTTCCGTCATTCCATTTGTTTTTCTTTATCTTATTTCTTTTATCACACACATAACATGTGCTTGTAACAGGGCACTGGCTCTGTTCAACATTTAATTGGATGGTGATCTGGAAGAACCACTAGTTAGATAATAATTATTAAAATTCTCAGAAGAGTAGATTGAATGGTTGGGAGAAAGAAACAAGTTAATAATTAGGTTTTAAACAAAATGAATTTAGGAATGGTTCCAAAGAGCACTGAACCTAGAAATAACTTGCCGAGATTCAGTTAAAATTGAGCAAAAATTAATATAACAATTTCAAATTGGAGATGGGGGTCTATATAGGGATACATGGGCCTAGAGAGAGAGAGAAAGAGAGAGCGGTTAGAGATTTGCTCCATTTGCATCATAGACAGTCATTGCAGTCACAAGAACACACATCTGCATTCCCATGGCTGAAGTGAACACACAGACACATGCAGGACAGAAGAATTAAGTGAAAGGCAACTGGTTAGTCTTGATTGAACAATTACTGCTAGATTTTTCAGGCTGCCATCCAGCAGGGTAGAACTTAATCTTTCAGTAGATAAAAAGAGAAATTTGCATTCATCAGTTTTAATATTCAATAAACCTGCTATCAGAGTTATCAACAGTGTTGTTCACTTTAATGAAGTTCTTATTGCAGCCTCGATTCCTGATGTTGTCCCAGGCACAAAGACAAAACTTACCATGGCAGCAGTTGAGAATTGCTCATTTCTTAGCTGTGGTACACAACATAGACACTGATGTCAACATTGCCACCACTAGACACTGATGTCAACATTGCCACCACTAGACACTGATGTCAACATTGCCACCACTAGACACTGATGTCAACATTGCCACCACTAGACACTGATGTCAACATTGCCACCACTAGACACTGATGTCAACATTGCCACCACTAGACACTGATGTCAACATTGCCACCACTAGACACTGATGTCAACATTGCCACCACTAGACACTGATGTCAACATTGCCACCACTAGACACTGATGTCAACATTGCCACCACTAGACACTGATGTCAACATTGCCACCACTAGACACTGATGTCAACATTGCCACCACTAGACACCGATATCATAGACTTTTTGGAAATCTGAATCGACCCTAACAAAATGACAAATTGGCCCCAACTGAGGAAGGAAAACAAAGCTGGATGATCCATAAGGTCCGTGTTACCCAACAAGCTTAATAGGGATAGTGACTGAAAGAGGGTTGGTGGGGGTCACATGCTTAGCACAAGTTTTAATCTTGCCAATGAAATATTTTCACATTGGTGAGCATTTGATAATGCTGTCCAGCTAACTGCTTTCATAAAGTTATTCAAGAAACCTAGATGAAAACAGCAGTACTTGAAACAGTGTGAAGGCTCCTTGCCTAAGCAACTATTGAAGCTGCCCTCTGTGGTTATAGTAACCAGATGGAATTCATTGTATAACACTGCCAAACATCACTATAAATTCAATTCCATGAAGGATACTTCTAACAGGATAAGAACCATGACCTGGCAGTAGACAGAATTCTGAATAAATCATAGTTGACTACACTATGCACCCTACCACAGTTTACACATCAATCTATATTTCATTAATGAGAACTTCACCTGTTTAATGAAAGACTCCTCATCAAGGTCAACATCATTTGCATATGTTTTGTACAACATAATGGAAGATATAAAACATTTAATAAATATTGGTACATCAAAAACATTTGGCCAAGAAACTGTCTTCTGATTGAACTAGAAAACTCAGAAAGGAACAAGGTCATCTCAACTTTTTTCAAGTCTTTCTGGACATCACTTACAAAACTGAATAAACACCTGAATGCCTACCTCATGCATGACTTTTGCAAGACATCTGTTTGATCATAGACAGCTACCCTGTAGAAGCTATGATATCAACAGTTTGGCAGCCATTATTAGTGATTTGCAAGATCTGTTTACTGATCTTGAAATGTTCCAAATTTATGAAAGTTACAAAGATGATTTATCAAATCCTTCTGCCAAGAGAACTTTTAGTTCATTATGATGCAGACTACGAGTTATCTCGTGCCAACAAGTTTATTCAGTGATACTTTTAGTTTGAAAACTATGTTAAAACTTCAATTGAAGGTATAACAACTAAAAAATGTTTTGTTGCCTGATGAGTTTGAAGTCAAACTTTGTAATTGATCTCTGGCAATTGACCTTTGGAATGCAAATAAGAGTTTATTTCCTATGCTGGAATGGATTGCTGACAAAGTAATGTGGATGCCTCCTATGAACAACATATATGTTGTACATTCATTTTCTCAATGACTAATGTGCAATTCTTATCCGAGAAAACACAGAGCAGTTTATAATGTATTACAATGGGAATCTAGAGAAAAGATGTGAAGATTGCTAATTTCGCAATTTAGGAAATATTAACAATTTTTTTTTTAATTTGAATAATATTAATACTTCAACTTAAGATCAATACTTTGTAGAATTCAAATTACTGATTTTGTTTTATTACAATGATTCAATTATCTTTTTATTTCTGATTTGTAAAATTTTAGAATAAGAAATTCTTTAAATTTGTTATTTTCTTAGTTATATACATCAACTAGATGCAAATATTATTAAAAAATAATAAAAAGGTGTACAATAACCTGGATATTTATTTTAAAAGAAGTAATTTCTGATAAAAATTGTGGATTGTAATATTAGTGTTTTACATTTGAATTTATATTGAAAATATTACATGTAAAGAAACAACAGATAAAACTGAACTTTGTTTGCTGTCTTAACAATATTTATATTAAAGTTAAAAAAAAAAAAAAAAAAAGATTTTGAAAATATGAAATGGAAGATGAGCCCCACTCCATGTTTTCATCTATTTCACATTCTGAGACTAACAGATGAAAAATGCTAAATTAAAATTAGGTACCTCCAAAACTTTGCTGAAAAAAGAGGATACATGATGAAAGAAAAAAAAAAAAAAAAAAAAAAATGAATAAAACATAAAAAAGGAATTTTATCATCACAACATTTGTGTTATTAAGATGAAAGACCAAAGGATTCTTTAATGTAAAAATTATTTTTTTTATCCTTTTTAGAACCATGTAAATTTTGATTAAAAATCTTGCTTTTCTGGCATCAACGCAAGACCATAAATTTATATAGGAAATTTGAGCATCTTTTTGCAGTGAAAAACATTGATTTTGAAATTCTTACAAAAAAAAAAAAAAAGATAATTGTTGGATTTTCATAAAACCTTCAAAACTCATTCAGAAATGAATGAAATTATATTTGAAACTTTTTCTTTAATCTGATACCCTCCACTCATTTAATTTTAGGAAGTTTCAAGGAATTCTTTTTGTATTGCTTAATGTTTATATAATTAAAGTCCTCAGAGAATTTAAAACATCAAATGGTTTTGTCAAACAGGACCCCTAGTTACAGGAAATCTGCTCTGAATTATAAAATTAAAAAAAAAAAAATTTTTAAAAAATGAATAAATTAGAAAGGTTTTTAATTGCTTTTATGAATAAAAAAAAAATATATTATGAAGAGTTTTTCAATGAATAATGAATTTTTACAAGAATTGCTTTCATTTTTTTTTTTAAATTTAAACTAGAATAATTTATAAACTTTTAAAATTCTGGATTAATTTGTATCAGTCAAGTGATATTGTTATTAAATTAAAGCTCTGTTTACTAATTATAAATGGCAGATCTCACTATAATTCGACCGATTTTTTTTTTTAAAGAAGAATTTTGGATTTATTTTATATGTGTATAAATTTGTTGATTTTTGTAAATATAGATGTCCATACATGACATTAAGAAAATAAGAGTGATAACTATAGTAAATTTAAAATCTATTGATATTTTTTCTAACATTTCCGCAACAAATGTCTTCAAAATATATATCTAGGATAAACCAAATTACCTAAAATTCAATATTAGAATGATTAAAATATTTTCAATTTTTAAGATTACTGTGTAGTTAAAAATTACCTAAAAAATGAATTACATTGCATTAGCCATGTAATTTTATTACAGTTATATCCTCCTTACTTAAATTTTCCAAACATCAGGCTGTCAATAAATGTGTCAACAGTTTGTAAAAATACCCATCTACATACTAAAAATTGCTTTTCTTTCTGCAATATTTTAAACTAAAAGTAATATTTGCTTCAATTCAAATTAATTAAACTTTAAATCAGTCAATTTTTTCAAATAACGTTTCAAAAAAGTATTTTATTTTTGAAAGATTTTTTAAAAAGAGAGTTATTGTGCTGACAGATTTACAGACGATATAGATTTTATTAGGGGGAAAAAATCAATTTAAATTCAGTTTGAAATACAGCAAAATATTTTGCTTATTAGAATCTTTTCTTAGCTTGGAATTTAAAAACTAAAATAAAAGCTTTAAGATTTTCACACTGATATCGCTTGAGGGCGGGTGGTGGTGCTACCTAATTAAAATCTCAGCTTATACTTTAGTTTAAAAAGTTGAAACAAATTATATTGCATTTCTTTTCAAAATAAAGCAGTTCACAGAATAGGAATCGTTTTTTTTGTTTTTTTTAATTAATTAAAAATCATGTGTAATTACATTTTTTCACCTCTGACCCCACAGGCTCCCGTGCGTAAATAAACGTTATTTTTATTAAGTTTTACCTTTTAAGTAAACATTACTTTTACAAAATCCAATTAATTAATCCTTAAATTTACTAAATGACTTCAAAATATATATCTAGGATAAATTTTGAATTTTTAAGAGATTTGTTTTGTTGTTGTTTACATTTTTCCTCTATAACGGCGATTCGATGAGTGACCATGTCAATATTTTACAACTGCCTAAAAAACTTTATATACTAAAATTAATTTTCTTTTAATTTAGATTATAGTTTGACTCAAATAAAACCGAAATTTATGTTCAAAGAAGGAATTTAAAAATTAAGTGTCTTTTTCAGATTTTTTTTTAAGTCGTGGCGGTACCCATTAAAAAAAGGATTGGTCGGAAAAATACCTATGAATGAATTGATCTTTTTCTTTTTTTTTTTTTTTTTCTCCTCCTGATTCAAACATGTTGAGATTCAAATGTTACATGACTTCCAGCAATTATTTTTTTTAAAAATCCGTTATAATTAGAAAATGCAAAAAAAAAAAAAAATGAAGTAGAGCATTCAGCAGACTTAAAACTTCTTGAAATTGATCAACAATCAACATGAAGGATTTGTTAATAATTGACTGGGAAAAACAAGTACACAAGTATTCTCACTATATATTAAAAAGAAGTTAGAATAAACAACAGCATTCTCTTTTGAGATTATAGATCAAAATAAGAACTTAACAAAATAAGTCATTTTTTAGCTCATCAACGTGGAAAAAGAAAAAAAGTCTGTTTTCCATATTTTGGAAAGTTTCTTCAGCTTTTTTACGTTTCAATGTAAAAAATATTTCACCTGAACACCATCAAAGCATAAAAAATATGGAAATAAAATATTAATCAAACAAACAATGCTGAGGATAAAGCAAGTTCATTTTTAAGCGTAAGATTTCATATAATAATAAATTCCTATTTTCTTACAACAAACTTCATAAGGGGATGTTTTTAAAAAATAAAAAAGATATCTCGTTCAATTGAGAAGCACCAAGAAACATTAATGTTTTTACAATATCAAATATAAAACCAACAATTATGTCTTAAAGATAAGAATTTAATTACTGCTGAAATCGACACGCGGAATGAAAGAAAGAAAAAAAAAAGACCTCGGTCCACTTTCTGAATAACGCACCGACCGGCATTTTAAGTCAAAAAACAAAAGAAATGATATGCAAATCATACACAATTTTTACATATCATCTTAAGATACTGGACGAAATAAGTTACTTACTAGTTTTAAAAGTCGTAAAATTGTCTCCTTAGATAATAAATTTGGATAATTCCAATCGATATTGGAAGAACCCTTCTCATCTACCGCCATGTTGAAAAAAGGAAGCGCTCAATAAATTCTGAATTCTGATTGGTTGAAAAGATCTGGCCTTCTTAATATTACCAAATTGAGTGAACAACCGCAACTACTGTGCTTTACATGCTGATAGGAGACTTTTAATAACTACGGATGTTTAAAATAACTATAATCTTTCTATTTCCAAAATATTTGTAGCAGTTCTGAAATATTTCGTAGCTGTGTAGATATTTTTCTCTAGTCTATTAATTTAAAAATCTAAGTAAAGAAACAATGCGTCTTTTATACTGGATTACAGATCAATAAACAACAGTTCAAAAAGTCCTTTTTTAGTTTTACATTTTTTTGAAGTGTAATGACTTTTTTTGGACAAACAATGAGGAAGGAAGGTTTGGAGAGCCAGACACCTACGAAGGCAAAAAGAAACAAAGGGAGTCAACGAGTCACCTACTTAATCAGCTTGTGTAAAAAATAGATGACATAACTGGGGTGGAAGGGATGGGAAAAAAGACAAAATTATTTAATTTAAGAGTAAGACTTTGAGTTTCAAGAGTTAAATTATACTCAAGAAGTAACTTTAGAGTTCGAAGACTCAGTAACATTAACTTGGAGATAACTATAACATTAATCTTATTCTTCTATGTGCCGTGTCGATCATGCCTCTCCACAACTTGTAAATAAATTTTGGAAAGAGAAAAAGCAAATTTGAATATTTGAGTTTTACTTTTGCTTTTTTAGCACTCAAAAAAGAAAGAAATGACTAAAAAAGCATTTACCATCACCTCTCGGTTAGTAATAGTAAATTTTAATTTGAAATAATAATGTGAAAAATGAAATTTTACAAAATACAATACTACAAGCAGCTAGCATTTTCAAATATTCTATTATTCTTTTCAGGCCAAACTTGAGCTATAAATTTGGATTTTTGGAATTAGTTAGTCTAAAACTAATTTGAAAAATGAAATAAATTCATTCGTAATTTATTTTGTATCACGTCAGTAAATAGACCAGAGAGCAAGTTTGTTTTTGTTTTTTTAAGGCAAACAGACCTAAAAATACAAAAAAAACATACACATAGCAAATTTACTCCCGCATTGGCTTTTTTAAGTTGTATGAAATTATCCTTTAAAATTATTTCGTTAAGTAAGTAATACTGTCCTTTTTCTCTCCTGAAATAGAGAACGATCGATAGCAGTTTTTTTTAACTAAGTTATCAAAAAACAAAAAAAAGTAAAGTAAAAAAAAAAAATGTATGCACATTTTATGCGAATTGCTTTCGTATAAAATAATAATAAAACAATGTTTCCTTTAAATAACGTTTTTACCATAATTAGCTGTCATTTGTTTATATTTTATATTTTCATTTTCAGGGAAAACGTATTGGTGCGTGTATTTTCATTTGTGTGCTTCCATAGGATCCAAATATCACTCACGTAAATTCTATTTGAAATTAACTTGCAATGTAAAATAAAGATTAGTCTGTTCACGCCGACGTCAGTTAACAAAGAAAATTATCAATTCACAGATAATAAAATTTCAGCTAAGCTATTATTTAATACAACGATAAAAAGTTATTTTGCTTAATGAATGTTTGTTTGTTTACTTTTCCTCAGAAAACGTTTTTTGTCTTTTAGTTTCCGTGTTTCTTGTCCGTCGCACTTTATCCCTTTTCAAAGCATTCCTGAAAACTTCAAACACTACGTGTTGGGTGAAGCAGATTATGATTGGTGACTTACGTGTTGCCTCGTGTCAGAATTATTTTGTTTTTGTTTATGCCAATCACTATCAGACTTTACTTCTTTTTTTTTTTTTTTTTAGCAACATTGGTATGTCTGTGAAAAGCAAACAAGTCTGACACGAGGCTACGCTTGTAAGTCACCATGCGCGTAATTTTGTGAAATGACTTGTGTAAGTCACAATTAATTTTAATTTTTTTTGCTTGCAGTGTACCTTCTGCTTGTCGTTATTGTTTTGTTTTTGTTTTTTAAACAATAATTAGGACTGATTTAGGATAATTGATCTTTAAAAAAATTACAATAAGGAGAAGTGGCAGGTATGTACACTGCGAGCAGAAAAAATAAAATTACACATAATTTCGGACACCGCCAACTGATTGATCTGATAAACCCATAAAGTGCGTGTGTGTGCACACGCGTTCTTGCTCTTGCTTTGTAAAGACCTAAACTGACATAACCCTGAATCAATCTTCCATAATTTTAATCCCTACGTAAAAAATATACTTGCTACCTGCACTTGCACACATCCCGAAACAAGTGCAGCGGAAGGTGAAAGTGAAAACAAATGTAATCTTGCTATCGCACTAAAATCCAGCATACACACTTTGTCATTTGTTGACTAACAGATGGGTGGAAGATCGTGGTTTCAGTTTTATTAAAATAAGAATATTACTATTTGTGGATCTGTTCATTTTGTTACATTTGCGATTGTTTCTCTTTAAATTTAGGCGCCAAACAACTGTTGTTTTTTTTTTTTTACATTTTTCCACTTTAATACTGTCTGTGATGTATTCATTGATCTGAAATGGTCTCAAAACAACGCTGAATAGTATAATAGAGTTGCCTCCCTTTTTCAATTTCTGCCTTTTTTTTATTTTATTTTTTATCTTTCAATAATTTAATCCCTTTTTGAGTATCCAGCAGAAAACAAAGTATCTTTCAAATTTTTTTTCAATTCAAATCCGGAGTTCAGAAGATCTGGGATTAACATGTCAAATTTAGACTCTAATGTTACATTTTCAAAGCCAATATTGATCTCTCTTTTATTTTCTAAAGACCTTAGAAAAAGTTACTAAGTTATACAGAATTTTAAGGCAACCAACATTGCAGTAGTCATATATGTTATGATCAGATTCTGATTAGATGGGTGAACAAACAAAAACACAATAAACTGTGTGAAACGGCAGTAGGCAGTGTGAAAAGATAACAAAATTGTTAATATATGGTTCTTTAGTTGCTTTTACTTAAGATATGAGTAGAATGTCTCTATGTGGACGAGGTGTAGGGATTTATAGGAGGATGAGTCTCAAGTGGATATGTGCACCAGGTCAATTGACTGAAGTCATGGTGGTGATGTCGAGAGCAGACCAAACGCCGACGGATGGCCGCAATTCTGTCTCTGTGATTTATGAGCTGCCTTCTTAAAAGTTATTTGGTGTCTCCTGAGCTCATTTTGTGTTCATGTTTTTACTTTCATGTTTTTTACATTCATGATTGGCTTATTTTATGTTGTTATTTTATATACTTGAGAGTGTTTTGTGGGCCAGATGTGATGCTTGGAGCCCCTGCACAGAGGACGACTTTTTTTATTTTGGGTTTTGCTTTTCTAGCGTTCACATCCAGCCAACATATAGAGGGAATCAGAAAGAGATCTAATTTAAAGTAAAGTATAAAATACATGTTATCCTTTTTATCTTGGAACCCAAGAGACAGAGAGTAAAATTGTGTTTATCTTAAACTTAATATTTTCTTACCAGGTATTGTTTATATGTGTTTTTTTACAAGTGTCCCTGCAATACACATTTATTCAGAAATTGATCACAGGACTATGATAGTGCAGTGACAGTTTGACATTGGTTCTTTCTATGAACTAGCCTCAAAAACCACTGACCCCAGACTTTCCTTGAACCCACCTGAGTACATGTTTTTATAGGAATCATGTGGATGTTAACAATAGGAGGTATTAAGTGTAATTAATCATGAATTTCACTGCATGTATTGGAAAATCAAATATGTTTTTGTTGATAGTGATGAGTTTCTTTTGTAAAATTTCCTGTCCAAGATTTTTCATAAGGATTTTAGGTTGAATGATATTTAAGTAAACATGATCCTGGTCCTTGGAAGGTTGAACAAGTTTGAAGTTATCCAAGTTCTAATCGTCATGTCAATCTGCTTAGGCAAAAGAACGGATGAACTGAGTAAGGGTAGGGATTTACTTAATTATGAACAATTTAATATGTTTCATTTAGCTATCAACCACTTCAAAATTCATTGTGGTTCTCAGCAAATTCCTGTCTGATTCTTTTTATTTTAACTAGTTAACATTTTTAATTAGTTCTTTTTCTTATTTAGCAATTTATTCCACTCACCATTCAGATTTAATTAACAAGTCTTCTTTAAGACTTCTCCTAGTCCCACTTCCCAAAATAATACATTACATCACTTAACATTTAATTCACTGACTGTCTCAAGTGACCTTGGAAGGGATAGTGGCATGTCTCAACAGGTAAAGAGCCACTTTGACCCTGTTACACATGTATGAACTTCAAACTTCCAAGATTTAAACTAAATAGAATTCCAGTTCTTTCTTGTTTTTTTTTCTTTTTTTACTCATTTCACCCCAAGCAAGGCAATAATGTCAATAGGACACAAGGTGTTAGTGGGAGTGAAAGAGAATGAGAAAACTTTAGTGAAGAGAAAAAACAATAATGGAACAGAGTTCAGGAAGACAGAAGATGGCAATTTAAATTTTTTGAGATTGTAGGTAGCATAAAGGCAAAAACCTGAGATATGCGAGAAAAGAAACTATTACAATAGAACAAATGGTTATGTAGCTAGTTCAACACTAAAACAGTGAGACCTAGTTACCAATCTAGTAGCATGCTTAAATTCATGTAGTTAAGGCACTAATGAGGCAAGGTCATCATAACAATTGCCATGAAAATATTTGTAGAAAAGAGAAAGGGAAGCCACATGACAAAAGTCAAGATCAGGATTGATTACATTTCAGACCATTTTTTTAATTTTGTCAAGAATCTCAAGATATAAAGTAGGAGCACCAGACCAAATATAGCGACAATATTCAATGGTAGATTTATAAATGTGCAAGATGGATTCTGACAAGAAAAACTGTCTGGTACAACCCAGTCAACCAACTTTCCTCGCACTAGACCGAGCAATTGATTCAATATAATCAATCCATGTCAGTGTTAAATATGAGTATATAACAAACATAAATTCAAAGTCAGTTTTCAGTTTTATTTTTTTTTAAATGTGTCATGATGACTAAAATAATTACAAATTTTATACTGATCCAAGAGTTCAAACCCATGAAAAAGCCTATATTTCAAATGCTGATTTTCTCTGCAAGCAAACCCATCCCAACTTGGACAATTAGCCTAAAACATCCTCCCAATCATGTCCTTATACCTGTCTAAAGTAAGCTTACTCAGCCAAATTATGTAAATATCAATCTTCATCAATTCTGCTTGTGCCTGAGGTAGTTTCTTTTCTAAATCATTTCACCCCAAACAAGACAATAAAGCCACTAAGAAGTAAAAAGTTACTGCGTGTGAAAGAATATGAAAAAAGAAAAACATTATTAAGGATAGAAAACAATAAAAGAACAGGAATTAAGAAGATAGAAGATAATAGTTGATATCACATTTAAAATTTTGAAGATGAATGTTGACAAGAAAGCAGGAGGCAGGAGGAGAGTTCCACAAGTGAAAAGTGCAAGAGAAGAAACTGTTAACATAAAATTTACAATTACATTTAGCCATTTCAACTCTAAAATGATGAGACCTAGCTGCCAATCTAGTATTGCACTTGAATTCATGAAGTCAAAGTACCAAAAAGGAAAAATCATCAGAACTGTTACCATGAAAATATTTATAGAAAAAGCACAGAGAGTTACAAGATGCCAAGTCAGAGCTGATAACATTGCAGATTTTATCAAGAATCTCTAAATACAAAGTGAAAGCACCAGATCAGATTATTCAATATTCAATGCATGGATGAATGGTTGACTTATAAATGTATAAGATAGATTCTATGGAGAAAAATTATCTAACACAACACAGTGAACCAATTTCCCAGCTGCTGACCCAGGGATACATTCAATATAATAATTTCACTTCTTGTCAGTGGAAAAATTAGCCCGAGAAGCCACAATGTCATTCTCCTGGAGGTTAGCATTTGCCATGCTGATAGAAGGTTTTTTGCCTGCTATCAGCATGGCAAATGCTAACCTCCAGAAACAAAAAAACATTTAAAACAGACCAGAAACAAAAAACAAAAGTTGCCTATTTGACTAGCGACATCAGTAGTCAGTGTTCAAGCCATAGAACATAAGTAAAAACCTGAAACAAAAATAGTGATTCTCACAGCTCAAAAAAAATCACTACTTAACATGACTTATATTTCATATCATTTCACCAACGTCCAAATCAAATTTTTTGATTCATTCAATCATTTTTTATAGTTTATCAACCCTTTGCAGGTTATTTAAAGTCAAAAAATATTTTTAGATTGTAAGAATTTTTTTTTGGCAGGTAAGAGATAATAATGATTTAGCAATACAAGTCTTACTAATTAACCCATAGCTGGGAGAAGAAGAGGTGGATTTATGCCTTTCCCAAGAGTATTTGGATGTAAGTTAATATAACAAATCCAACTGGAATTGGAAGTTGACCCTTTGACTAGCAATTATAGGCCATTATTATACCACCCATACATCCAACCTTACAACACCTGTTATTCCTAAGCAGTTACTCATCTAGGTACTGGTGACACTCAACATTGCTTAACTTTGGGGATCATATGGGAACTGGTGCTTCAATGTGTTGTGGTCCACCAAATCTAGTGAAATCTAATCTCAATTTCCATTATTATTGTATCACAATTCCAAGCCATTATTTATTATACCACCCATACATCCAAGTTTATAACACCTGGTATTCCCAAGCAATTACTCATCTAGGTACTGGCTAGACTCAACATTGCTTAACTTTGGGGATCATATGGAAGCTAGTGTTTCAACGTGATGTGGCCCACCAAATCAAGTGAAATCTAATCTCAATTTCCATAGTTATTGTATCACAATTGACACAAATCACTGTGATTCCTTGTGAAAGATAGATTAAATAGTATGAATATATATAAGAATTCCCTGAAGAAGAGAGCATTACTTAGCAAATTAGTTTCATATTTGCTGCCCACAATTGTGAGGCCTTCTACCAGACTAATCAAAATGAAAAATCTCCAGATATTATTTTAAAGAAATAAATTCCTGACCTTTACCTTTTGACTGTGGACACAGGAAATGCCATATAATTATTTACAAGAATGAAAAATAATTACTAAATTTTCTTTTTATATTTGGAATAACTTTGAACAGTAAGCAAATGTCAGATGACATTGGAAGAGTGTGTGTTAGTTGGTATTAAGAAGAAAAATCTTTGGTTTTTATAGGCTAATTAACAACATACCCACTTGACCTTCTGAAACCCAATAATGAAGAAGAGCAATTAGGTTTGTTTTTTTTCAAATAAAAAATAATTATATTCTTTTTAGCCTTCTTCATATTGTAAATATACTTGATTGAAAACGTAGGACAAAATAAATATTAAAAGGGTCTCTTCTGATAAATTTTGTTGTTATAAAAAAAAAGTAACTTTGAAAATTACCAATAATAACTTTCTAAATTGACAATCTCCTTAAAAAAGTCTCATTTTGTATAACATTGAACTGATTTTTCTTTGATTTTGTACTTTTTTTTATTTTAGTTTTATATTTGCATTCTTACAACCTCAGAAATAATTACAATTTATCTATGGTGTCTCTGCTTTAAGCTATTTTCAAAGAGAAACAAATCATCCAAACAATTTGGATCTCTAGAAATTAAACAATCTTCAGAGATGCCATAACCCAAACAGAGCAAAGCTGTAATAATTTAAAAAATAAGGAAGCTAAAGAAATGAGCATGTATGTTCTAAAGATCTGGTGAGTAAGCCAAGCTTAGAAATGAATATCAAATGAGAGCCTCTAAGTAGAAAAGAGAAGTGTTATATTCTGTGCTAATGCTAATAATAATTGAAAAACAAAGTGGAAAAAATAAGTAAAGGTTTATTGTAAAAACCAGTACAATAAGAATAAAGGTAGCAGTTATGCACAAGGTCATCACAAGTCAATCCAGTAGGGAGTGCTACTATTGGAAGGTCAGTAGTTCTCACGTAAGTCTGAGTTGTACTCAACAGATCCCAGCTAGTATATTTACTAACACACGCGATCAGATGTGGCACAAGACCGGGTTTAATGTGGGGCATCCGAGCCTGTAGACTCAGCCAAAAATTCCTGTAGACCCCGTATAAAACTGTTTCTCTTCAGCATGGGGATCCTCTCTGCTCGGAAGCAGAAAATTTGACCAGCACAGCTGGAACAGATCCCAGCTAGTCTCCATAGTCCGTTGACTTACAGCTACTTATAAGTCATTACTTCCTATAGTGTAGTCATTCATGGGGATGACAGGTTATTCCATTACATCAAGAAGATACTAAGTTTCGCACTCTGCATTATTAATATTACTTCCCTTTACACTGCATTCTTTTTCAAGGCCTCTCAATTGCAGTATTGTGGGAAATTTAACAACACCCCAAATTGAATCATAGATGGATGAACAAAGTGAAACAATTGAACATTGTAAAAACATACTTTATATATGAAATACATTACATTATGAGAAAGAGAATAGAGGATTACTAAAAACATATTCTTTTAGCAGTTAAAAGTCATAACATTAGGGACAACATCCAAATTCCTATGTTTGTGTAGTGAACGAGATAATCAAGTACCCCAGAAAAAAAGTTTGTGTTTTGTGTGCAATCTGCCGGAGAAGGAAAATTCGGGCATTTTTGGCTACGGCGTGCGTGAGTTATTTTCCTGACGTGTTACAAGTGATTTTCTTTCTTTGTGTTGACCCAGCACCTGTGCAATGGCAAAAAGGACAAGTGAGTGTAAGCAAGGTGTGGCACCGTGTTTGAATGGACATCACCTATTATAACGGACATCACTATTTAACGCTGATTGACTGTGGCCCAACCCGGTTCACTATTCGGCGGCGTCTGCGTCGACAGGATTCCGCAAGCGTCATTGACCACTTGGGGTCATTGTTCTTTGAACGTGGACCTCCGATGGAACTCCTCACTGACAACGACACTGCATTCCGCAGTGGACTATTCAAAAGATTTTGTGGCTTCGTGGGAGTACACCTCAGATTTCGCTTCTTTATGTCCCATCAGGGAATGGCATAATCGGCGATGTCATCAGACATCAAAAGAATCACTGCTAGGAAGCAGTGTTCCATAATGGAGGCGGTGTATTGGTACAATGTTACTCCGAAAGACAATAATGTATCGCCCTCAACTGCGCCAGCATTGCCTGTTCTTGGAGTAGGCTGAAAACATGTCTTTCTCATTTGTAGTCACCTAGGCCTCTGAAACTTGGTGTCCAAATTCTAATTCATGCCTAATTTTGGGTCACATTCATTATTACCAGGTGAAATGAGTCCTTTTATCAGCAGGAGTTATCTACCAAAGGGAGATAACCTATATTTTATATAGTATCTTTATTGTTAATTTCACTCAAACTTGTTTTCTGTTGCCATAGCATGATATGACAACACATCTATGAAATTCAAACACACTATTGTTCAGGGATCAGAGTCACCTTCAATGACAGGATAAACTTTTTGTACAGCATTTGAAAACTCTGAAATTCTACTCTCTATATGCCTGACAAAGTACTGTTAAGTTTGTCTCATTCTTTGTACATTGTAAGTTTAATCCCTTTGTGAGTCAATAGTGGAGAACATTGGCTGTGTGGAAAAAGAAATTGATAGAGAAAGTATGCTAAGAATTTCTGAAAAATATGATGCAATCGATGATATGCTGATTGCATTTAAGCATGAAACAGGCTGTTACTGCTGTATGTTTACCTCAATGTCCACTTTTATATTTATATTCATATATAAATAATACATAAACGGTTAATGTTTAGAGTTGAATCAAACCAGGAAACAGTAGTATTAAAAAGTGCTTAATACACATGTGAAAAAAATAAAATTAAAATAACATATAAAGCTTTTAACTTTAAAAATCAAGAGGTCACTTGAATCCACCAGCTTGGTTTCAACCTTACAGTATCCTCAGGTGATATTCCTCAATTGACCTCCCAAAGTTTTATTTTTAAAAAACTAATGAACACTATATTATTACAAAAAAATAAATAAATAAACAAACACATAACATTGGGTGTGAGAGAAAGGAAGGAGCAGGAAGTGAAGAAGGAAGGAGGAGAAGAAGATGGAAGAGAAGAAAAGCAAGGGTATTATAAATGTATCAGGGTGAAGGGTAATTGAAATGTACATTTTTTTTTGTTTGTTTTTTTGGGGTTTTTTTTTGGTTTTTTTTTATTTAGCCTCATAATGGTTCACATGAATCTGACATGAAGTTAGAAGATCATCAGGAAGATGACTCCAGACCTAGATACACAATAAAAAGAACCAAGAAAACACCCCAATACAGAGACATAAGATCTTGTACTTTTGTTTGAAGAAATCACAAATCAATGAAGGGCATAAAACCTCTTCATTTCCAAGAGGTATAGTGACATAGGCAAACTGGACTACTAAACAACGAATACTAAATAAGCCAGTCATCACTCGGTAGGTTGGAGACTTCTACATCACAGACTAGAAGACATCACAAGAACTGCTGTCCAATAAGTGTTTTTGCTAGGATTTAGATAAATAGATATGTATGAATAGAATGAGATAGATATGTATGTATAAGCAGAATGAGATAGATATGTATATATGAACAGAATGAGATAGATAGATAGATGTGTACAGAATGAGATAGATAGATATGCCTGAATTATAAGAAATATAGATTATCTCCCCTTGTTTGCTAAGACCTGCTGATAGTAAGATGGGTCCATTTATCTGATATTAATGGGTGAGACCCAAATATAGGTGCTAAATGGAATTTAGTTGCCAAAGCTGAGAGGCCCTGACAGCCAGAAATGGAACAGACATGTTTTAGCCTACTCCAGGAACAGGTGATGCTGGCCATGAACAAACCTGAATAATGCAATGACAAGCAGTAATCGAATGAGGAATATGAGCAGCATCAGATGTTTCAATCAATTTTAAACAGATACATGTATTTGGATTTTGTCCCTGATGCCATGACTTTAACTATTAAAGGAATATGTTTTTAGCAATATATATTCTCATTCTAATTGTACAATGTATTTTTTATATAAAGTATGTTTTTTAAGCTGTTCAATTGTCTCGTCTTTGTTCATCAGCCACGACACACTTTGGGGAGTCATTAAATTTCCCACATTTTGCTAAAAACTTATCTGCAAATAAGCATACATGCAATTTTGATAAACAAAAAGCAATTTTGATGTATCTGTACAATTTACTGACCACATAAAACAATTTTGTTGGCATGATGACAGAGGAATTTTTTTAAAAAAATGGACAAATTTGAGCATAATGGCATCAAGAGAGAAAATATCTTCTAGTCTGCTGTCTTTTTTATATATATAAAAACTTTTTTCTTTCACAGTTCAGTGAAGCTAATTTGGACACGTGGTGACCAAATTATATATATAAAAATATTTTTTTGCCTTCACAGTTCAGTGAAATTAATCCAGACCCATGGCATCCAATATATAAATAAAAATAATTTTGCCCTTCTTCACCGATCAGTGAAATAAATCTGGCCATGTGGAGTCCAAAATATAATTTAAAAAAATATAATTTTAATTCATTGTCTATTTCAAGATGGATAATTACAAGGAGTTAAAAGGAGTTAAAGCCCTTATTGACTCTAAGAGCAATTTAAAACATAATATTAATTTAAGGTTGGAATTGTTGGAGCAGGATAAGAACTTAAAGGAAAAATTTTTTAAGGAGGATGAAGCCATCATCAAAAATCTTCAGGGAGAAATTCGAGCTTTGGATGGTAAAATCAAGGAAATTT